ATAAAATAAAATGCATTTAGCCAGGCTTAGCGCCTATAGCTCAGTGGCTAGAGTGCCAGCCACATATACCAGAGCTGGCAGGTTCAAACCCAGCCTGGGCCTGCCAAACAATGACAACTACAACTGAAAAACAGTTGGGCGTTGTGGCGGGCGCCTGTAGTCCCAGCTATGTGGGACAGCAGGAGAATCGCTTAAGCCCAAAAGTTTGAAGTTGCTGTGAGCTGTGATGCCACAGCATTCTACCAAGAGCAACATAGTGAGATACTGTCTCAAAAAAAAAAAATGCATAGAGCCCTAAATCCCTGTCAAACCATGTTTATAAATTATTGTGTGGAAATGCTAGCACAATTATACAAGAAGAATGTGTTATGTTTAAAAATATTTATCCTTAAAAGCAATGTTGGAAATAGGAAAAATAGAAATAGCTTAGTGTCCCTTATTATAGGAACATGTAAGTGAAATATCCTACAGTGATATGGATTGCTTCTCAACATACCAAGAAAGATTTTAGACTCTAGACATTTTGGTCATTGACATATCCCTAGAATCATCACTGCCTGATACATAGCAGGTACACATAATAGTTAGTCCAATTTTATTTAAATAAATGTTTGTGTCTAGAATTATGTTGACAATTCACTGTTAAATGAAAAAACACATTGAGCAATAAAATGTAGAATATGATTTTATTTAATAAACATACATATATTTGTGTGTATGTATGCTTGTCTACACCAACTGGTAAAAATTTTGATGAATGGAATTAGTAGGCAGGAGAACATTTATAATTTACTTTATATTCTTTATGTAATTTTATTTTTCCCCAATACATTATTAATTTTATAATAAAAACTTATTTTTTTAATTTATAACATAAAATGAACTATGTATAACTATATCGAAACTATGTTTCAAATACTTAGGAGTAGAATTACTGGATTAAATGTAATGGAGGGATACTCTTATCCCCCAACCCTCCTCCCACTTTCATAAAGTTGAGGGAACTTCCTTCTCTAGGAGGGAAAAGTATGAAAATTCATGATGGCTCTTCTTTTTCTCTTTCACACCACCCAGATGTCACTTACCTGATTAGGAAAATGGAAGAAGGAATTGAGCTGGCATGGTCTAGCCTTTCTTTCTGACCATCCTGACCTTTGGAAGGGTGCAATCTCTGTTTCTCCAGGCAGGAATCTTAAGCAGGCCTTCAATTTGGGGGTTAAGTTTAAACCAGTGGCACCATAGTGGAGCACAATTAAAGCTGTTGATCAAGTGCACTTTCCCTTTCAGACTTAGGTACAGTACAGCTGATTTTTTTACTTCCATCTTTTAACACCATGGTCAATTTCATAGCTATTAATATATATATGAATGTGAGAAGAGAGGAGGTTACCTATTAGTTCCCAAATACCAAAAGATGACTATATGCAGATTTAAGTCTTTAGATATATGTGTTTAAAGCCGAATCACCTTTTGGTAGTATTTGCATTCCCACCCTAAAGTGTATATAAAGTTCTCATTTTTGCACCTTCCAATCTGGGCATTGAAACTTTTAGAGAAATTTTTTGTCAATTTCATAAGAATCCTGGTATCATTTTATCGATCTTTTTTTAATTAAATCATAGCTATGTACATTAATGCAGTCCATTTTAATGAGCACCTCTTTGAACACTTGTGAAGTAAATATTTTTCATATTTATTGATTATATTTCCTACTTTGTGACTTGTCTGATACTCATATTCACCTAGCTGTTGTAAATATTTCCCCTAATTTGTCATTAAGTTTAAATTTTGTTTATGCCTTTTTAATGTCTTAGATTTTAAAATTTTTATGGAGTCAGATCCATTATTGAGGTTTCTGCAATGTATTTGAGTATTTGAGTTTGTGATCCTTCCCTTAAACAAAATCAAATCGTCTTTTTAATTTTCTTCTAGTCATTTAACAGTTTTACTTTTCATATTTAGTTCCATTCTTTTTTTTCCAAACACTGAATAAGTTAATTATCTATGTTAGGGCATAGGCCAAGCTCACATATATCTTTCCAACCTAATATAACAGACCAAGGCTGGTCTGTCCGTCCTCAATGTAAGACTCCATGTCTGAGTCTAAGGTGTTTACTCTCTTTGTCACCATTTCCAGCCAGTGGGGAGAGGAAAGAGAAAAAGAAGAGTGAAAATAGCTTCCTTTAAAAAATAAATACAGAGGCTTGGTGCCTGTGGCTCAAGCAGCTAAGGTGCCAGCCACATACACCTGAGCTAGCAGGTTTGAATCCAGCCTAGGCCTGCCAAACAATGACAGCTGCAACCAAAAAATAGCCAGGCATTGTGGCAGGCACCTGTAGTCCCAGCTACTTGGGAGGTGAAGGCAGGAGAATCTCTTGAATCCAGGAGTTTGAGGTTGCTGTGAGCTGCGATGCCACAGCATTCTACCCAGGGTGACAACTTGAGGCTCTGTCTCAAAAAATAAATAAATAAATACAGAAATTTCATGCTTATGCATATAGCTCATGACGAAAACTGAGTCACAAGCCACCTCTTGCTATAGTGGAGGTTATGAAAACAGCATGGGCACCCCATGTACTCAGCTAAAACAATGTGGGAGGCAGTGGGAACCAGGAACCAACATAGTGTTTCTTACTACAGAGAGAAGACATAGAAGAAAGGAAGAGTTGGCTTGGCGCCTGTGGCTCAAGTGGCTAAGGCGCCAGCCACATGCACCTAAGGTGGTGGTTTCAAATCCAGCCCGGGCCTGCCAAATAACAATGACGGCTGCAACCAAAAAATAGCCAGGCGTTGTGGCGGGCGCCTGTGGTCCCAGCTACTTGGGAGGCAGAGGCAGGAGACTAGCTTGAGCTCAGGAGTTGGAGGTTGCCCTGAGCTGTGATGCCATGGCACTCTACCCAGGGGGACAGCTTGAGTCTCTGTCTCATAAAAAAAAAAAAAAAAAAAAAGAAGAAGAAGAAGAAAGGAAGAGTAAATGCAAATAATTTTCCTGGTTTATCATTTTGATGTTCATAAGTTTTAAATGTAGAGAAAATTGTTCCCTGACCTTTTCATAGGCTTGCTTTCTGCTTGACAGACCTAGAGTCACAAGAATGGCATGTGAGTTGTGTACATGCAGGGGCCAGAAAACTGGTCATAAAATTTCTTTCACAGGCACCCTTTATGAAAAATTAATTGAAGATAGTCTCCAACAAAATAAGCAAGTCAAGAAAGGAAAAAATAAGATCTGCAATTCAGAAAGCACTGGAGCAAATCCAGGGAAGCAGTTGTGGGAGCTCTGGAGAAGATGGCTCCACCCAACTTGAACCCAGACCCTATCCCTGTCCCTACTTCCAATTCCTAACCCTAACCCTCTGTCCCCACTAATACTTTTTTTGCTTACCTGTGCTGTCAGATATCACAAAAAGCATAAGTGGACTTTTTTTTTTTGTTTTGCTAATCAGCTTTCATTAGTGTTTGTGTATTTAATGTGTAGCCCGAGACAACTCTTACTCTTCCAATGTGAAACAGAGGAAATTAAAAGGTTGAACACCCCTGCCCTAAACCCTAACCCTCATTGGACATGGCAAGCCTAAGTCACAGTATGACATGCTTTCTTCCTGTAATTCGGTATTTTTTTTTTTTTTAGACAGTCTCAAGCTGTTTGCCCTGGGTAGAGTGTCATGGCGTCATGGCTGACAGCAACCTCCAACTCTTCGGCACAAAAAATTCTCTTGCCTCGGTTTTTCTATTTTAGTAGAAACAGGGTCTTGCTTTTGCTCATGCTGGTCTCAAATTCGTGATCTCAAGCTATCCACCAGCCTCAGCCTCCCAGAATGCTAGGATTACAGGTGTGAGCCACTGCACCTGGCCATCAGTATAATTTTTTTAAAAAAGAAAACTTTTACTTGGTGCTGTCCATTTATAAGATTCCAACTATCTAAAAAAGTTGATTTTGTCTCTTTTTCCCACCTTAATTGCTGCCTCAGTGGAAGTTACTAAATCTTGAGATTCCTGCTTATCCATTTTCTGTTATATCATTCAGCCTATTTGTTTTACACATATCTCAAATTCACACCCTTCAATTGATGGAATTCACCCATTATTTACATTTTTATGTTTTTCGTGTAAATCCCTAAAATCAGACATTTCATCTTCAACTGCTATATGGAAGCACACAACTAGCTTCCATATAGCAGACACTTAAGAACTTATGTATGAATATAGACAATTGAAGAAAAAATACTTTTCTGCCCAAGACAGATCCATTGTCAAAATATTTCTAACATCATCAAAATATGGGAAAATTCTTTCAAATATGAGATGCAAACCTCTTCACAGCCCTTTTCTCTTATGTACTTGGAACTTTTCTACTTGCCTATTCCAATTTCCTTTTTTTTTCTTAAAGACAGGGACCTGCTCTATCACCTGTCTGGAGTGCAATGGTGGTGTCCTAGTTCACAGCAACCTCAAGTGCCTGGGCTTGAGTGATCTGTCTCAGCCTCCCAAGTACCTGGGACTACAGACATGTACCACCATGCCCAGTTAATTTTTCTATTTTTGTGTAGGGACGTAGTCTTATTCTTTGTTCACGCTGGTCTCAAACTCCTGGCGTTAAATGATCCTTCCACCTCAGCCTCCCAAAGTGCTGGGATTACAGGCATGAGCCACTGCACCTGAACCTCGATTGCACATTTATTAATTAAAAATAATCCTGTCCCTTGGGTGGCACCCATGGCTCAAAGGAGTAGGGCGCCGGCCCCCATATGCCAGAGGTGCCGGGTTCAAACCCAGCTCCAGCCAAAAACTGCATTAAAAAAAAAATACAAAAAAAGAACTCATGGAAAAAAAAAATAATCCCATCCCTACATTTACTATGCATATTACAAAACCAAGGTGTACAAATAGCTAGTAAAAGTAAAAACATTAAAAAGTCTATTTTTTAAGGTTTTATAAAGAATGTATTCAAGATTTTAAATCTCACACAGGCACAGAAGCAATACTGAGGATAAAATGTCTTAACTACCTTTATTGATATCATTTCTGTTCATCCATGTATATAAACTCATGAAAATCCACATTCCTAATTTCTTGGATCTTTCCCTAGTAAGGTCTAGAATAACAAAAGTATTTTCATGTACATATTTGATTCTTACATACTTAATATCTATGAATTTGAAATTTGTTTTCCACAGGTCTATGGCTTTACTATTTTTCAAGACAAAAGTCACATATTAAAATACAGACTGTTCAAAACATAAAAGTACATAGTTGGCAAGAATGTGGTTTACAATATAGATCTTGCAGACAATACAAACAATAGTATGATCTGTCTGTCTAAAAACAAAAAGCAGTGTATTATATTATACTGAATTCCAGTATCAGGTGCACAGGACAACTTATTTACAATCTTCTTTTATTTTTATAAGATAAATACCATTTCTCACATATATTACAACCATGTTTTTTAAACCAAATTTTGGGTTAAAAATCACAAACTGACAACATAGAAATACAAAATGCTAGGAAAAGCTTAACATATAAGGGGGAAAAAACATATCTTATGCACTGTAATGATTTTTGCAATCCAGCAAAAAAGCAAATGTGATTTATAAAAAAACACAGCCCATATACACTTATAGAAGAAATTTAGTCAAGCCACCTAATACAACAAATTTCACAGATATCATTCATTATCGTGCCAAAAAATTCCCTGTTATGTAGAAGTCTCTACACATCAATAAGAATGTCAACAAGGATCTGCAAACTACAAAGTATTAGCAAGTAAATGTAAACCGTGCATTTCTCTTGGAAAGAATCAAGCTTGACTTTGCTTTAAAAGATAACTATGAATGTTCCTTAAAATAACTTAAATTCACCAATCTAGGGAAATATACACATTTTCCCAGCTATGCATGCAGACTATACTGTATGGTAAAAATGATTCAGTTACTAAAAAAAGATAGGAAAGATTCAAAATAATCAGAACTCAGTTAAGCTGGTGAAACCACAGAGACGTTGAAGCACAGCAACTTCCAAGACCCTAAGGGTTAAAGTTAATAATAAAATTTGGATACTTAACCTTACATAAACACTCTGAATTTAGATTTAATGTTAACAATTTATATTATTCTTGTCTTTGGATTTTAAAAAAGTTTTAAAAAGAATCAATGTTTTGGAATAAGCAATGTAACTTCAAATCATTTTGCTATCCGACTACAAGAAAGACTGCTTTTCTTCCAGCCCCGTAACTTGATAAAATAGAAAGCTCTCCACACACTAAGTCCTGGAGAAGACTGATTTCGCAAGTCACTGCGAGTTATGCAGTGCTAATGTAACAGAGCTACTAAATCATATTTGTTCTTAAGAAAAATTACAAAACTAACAAATCTTTTTTTCTCCAGAATTATAAAAGATAAAATCTATGAATCAGTACTCTAATATGGTCACAGAAAAATAGCAAACTGAAGTTAAAAAACACAAGCTGTCTATAATATAGGCCCCAATCTATTTCCTGCCATCTTAATATTTTCTACCTGCTCTAAGGATTGAATATGTCAACACCTAGAAACCCGTATGGTCTTTAAAGTTGGGTAAATAATCATCCCTATGGTTAGGGTTAAAGTAATTTAGCTTATTACTAACACACAGAAGAAAATTTGTTTCATTTTTCAGGATACTCTTTTAAGGATTACTTGACAGTGGTTCTTTTAAAGGTAAAAAAAAAAAAGGGTCAGGGGAAAAAAACAACTCCTTGAAATTCTTTTGGAATTCCAGAAAAGACATCTGGCAGTTTGATCTTTTATTCTTCCTCCCTCATCACAATTTTTCCTTTTAAAATTTACAATTGACAAATGAGACTTAAATAATTTACTTAAAATAAGCAAAGGCTTCTCACTAATGTTTTCCCCTCTAGAGAACTAAGAAGTTCAGTGAAACTCTGTGCCAGTAATTAAAAGAAAATTCAAACTTGGGCATAGGTGTGTCATACCCCAAAGAGATTTTATACATTTATAAACTGTTGTTTTCACACTTTATAAGTAACACAGGTCAGTTACACCTTAAATTTTCATTTTTAACGCATAAAATGTGCATCCTGTGAAGGAAGAGTCATCACTCTCTACCACACACACCTCAGTGTTTCACTGGAGTTGAGAAAGAAACACCCTTCTCAAGGAAGATTCTCTCTACTTTGGGGAAACATTCTTCTATGCAGAGTAGGTCTTATAGGATTACGTAAAGAAATCACACCACTGAATCAAAATTGTAGAGGACATTTAAGAACTAGAAAAAGAAGACTATGATGTGGCCAGTACAGCAGTACCCTTGCCCATGCCGCCTGTTCCCAGATGACCCTCCACAGCAGACAGGCAGCACACACAGCAGGCCTGGCAATCTGCTCTTCCTCCCTTCCCTTCTCAAACAGGAGACCTATTTTTCTCTGTAATAAAGCAAATAGTATTTAAGGGGATCTGGAAGAGGGAGGCTCAGGACTTTCTGGCGTAGGAAGTTCACAGGGGGATCTGGCTTTCTTTCCGGCGGGGTCTTCTCTTCTTCTTCCTGCCGCTCGTCTTCCAGGTCTTCACAGCTATTGTCATCAGAGGGGTTGGAAATCCGACTGGCAAAGACCTCTTTGTCCAAAAAGACAATCGTTTCCATTCGACGGCGGCGAACTCTCCTTCGTTTAAACCTGGGAGTGTTCTTTAGTCCATTTCCATTTTTGCTCACTGTTTCCTGATGAATGACCTTTTTAATGGTGCCCCGGATAGCAATGCGAGCCAAGTCCTGGAGACTGCGAACTGCCACTGGTGCTGTAGTACAAAGACCAGATGATCAAACACATCTGAGAGACACCACCACAACGCCTCAATTCCTAAAAATCCTAACATTATTGGAATTCACGGGCAAATTTACAAATAAGTTATAAAAATATGAGCATGTTCTAAGAAATGTTAATTGGCGCTCTAATTTGCATTCATGTAGTACTTTTCAAAATATATTTTCAAATGCATTGATTCCTAACTTTGCAAAGAAATGGAAGCAATATTGTTTGGCTAACCCAGTGGCAGATTTAAAAGCTGAGTTACGGTCTATTTCTCTGACAGCCTCGTTTCATTATTCACAATATTCATTCATGTATTAATACTTACCCACTAGTAATACAGTGATTATGTCTCCAGCATTACTTTACCTATTTTAATACTTTCGTAGTTATTTATTTATTTATTTGTGAGACAGAGTCTCACTATTCACCCTTAGTAGAATGCTGTGGCATCACAGCTCACAGCAACCTCAAACTCTTAGGCTTAAATGATTCTCATGCCTCAGCCTCCCAAGTAGCTAAGACTACAGGCACCTGCCACAATGCCCACCTATTTTGCTTTGGTGGTTGTTGTTGTCATTGTTTAGCAGGCCCAGGCTGGGCTTGAACCCACCAACCTTGGTGTATGTGGCCAGTGCCCTAAACGCTGAGCTACAGGTACCGAGCCTCATAGTTATTTAGAAATAAAATATATTTGTTCCTTTTCTATTAAAGCAGAGAAATGCAAACCCAATCATTTTAAAGGAAAACCTCAAAGTACACTGAGGAAAAAGAACATTTGGCAATTAAAGCTCACTACTTAATACAAGCAATATAACTGCTTTTCTCAAAGGGCAAAAAATCACTTTGAACTGAAAATTACCATTATATTTTCCCTCTACTACCTAATGTCTTTAAAGAAAAACAGTCTGTACTACAGGAAGAGTTCCTGTGCTGTCAACAACATTAATTACCAAAATTGAGCCTGCACAGAATCTTGGTAATCTCTGCTGTTCTATGGGAGTCCTCTATGTTTGTGGCCCTGGCTCTTAAAGCACTTTCTCCCTCCTCTATTAACACCAACCTTTCTCTCACCTGCTTTTCTGCCTCTGAAGACAAGGGGTCCCTTCTCCCTTCTCCAGGACAGGCTTCAACAGTTCCTTCATCTTCAATCCTGCCCTTCCACTGAGCATCTCTTGTCCTCAAATAGCAATCATCCTTCCTTATCGCCTTACCTCCAAATTATTTCACAAGCCACTGAGATCTCGCTGTTGTCTCAAAAATGCTGAAATGATTCCTTCCTAGGCCATAGACTCTTGTAAGCTTTGACACCTCCAGCTCTCCAAAATGCCTGCTTGAGACAGCTAACTTGACTTGCCATTCCCCAGCCTACGTCACCCTCTTCCTCGAACTTCCCCTGCTCATCTCTCTTGCTGGCTCTTTCTCTTCCACCTGGACTAGTGACACCCCTAAGGTTCCAATTTCCAGCATTCACTTTCAAGGTGCCTACTAATCCTTTGTTTGACATCCAGTATGTGGGTTTAAGTAACAGAGACCAGCTAACAGCACCCAAGGATCTAATCCAGTCCTGACTGGGACCCTGAGCCGCCCACAGACCCATGTCCCATCCTCCTTCAGAAAGGCCTCATGTGTTCCTGAATCCTTTCCACTGTAGAGATTAGTCTCTTGATTTTGATCTTTACCTCTTGCCTAAAAAATTCCAACAGCTCTCTAACTATATCTTGCTTTCAGTGAGTGGATTTCCCCTCAGTTGAAAAGCTAATGCATCTACCCCACCGCATGGGTCTACACTCACATGGCCTTACTATGAGCTATCTTCACTCAGACATTCTCTCTCGCACTGTCTTCATTTACATGACTTTAGTAATCTCTTATGATTCTTACCCAGGCCTGGTCAAACTCTCATGAGGGAGAAACTCATTTCAACTAGACCCTCAAAAAGTCTCATAAGAGTCCAGCATTGCCCTTGCTTTGTTAAGTCTCTGGAAGCCCATCACCTCTTTAACCAACAGCAACTTTTGCTTAAAGAGCATATTTTGGTGAGACATTTGACAAATTCACCCTCCAGCCAACCCCCAGGGTTGTACCTAGGACACAGATGTGCTGCACCCTTTATCTAAAACATCTGATAGGCTCGGTGCCTGTGGCTCAAGTGGCCAACAACAATGATGGCTGCAACCAAAAAATAGCCAGGCGTTATGACGGGTGCCTGTGGTCCCAGCTACTTGGGAGGCAGAGGCAGGAGACTCGCTTGAGCCCAGGAGTTGGAGGTTGCTGTGAGCTATGATGCCATGGCACTTTACCCAGGGGGACAGCTTGAGTCTCTGTCTCAAAATAAAAAAAAAAAGTCTACAGTCTAAAACATCTGATAGCTATCCACAGCATAGGTGATAAACTCAACCCTAACCTGCATACCAGCCTCGTTTCTCCCACATTTCCCAACGCTGACCACATTTTTTTTTTATTTTTCCCTGTTTTTCTTGACTGTCAGCAACAGCCAGGTATGGGCCTGATGCTCCAGCACCATCTATTTTCAGGGCTAGTTGATTCGGCAGGTGAGTTGTTACATACTCAGTGGATTCCACTTCCATGGCCACCATCCTGGCTGACCACATTTTAAATTTTGCCCTGCTTCTGCTGACACTTTTCCTCCCTTTCTTCTCTCTTTAGAGAGTTCCTTTTCACCCCTGAAATCCAAGTACAAACACCATTCCAAACTTTTCCTAATCCCACTAACCGCTCTGTATACCTACTGCTCATTATTCAAATTTCAAGGACTGTGTCTGTTTCATAGGACTTATACTTAGCAGAAAACAAAGCCTATCTATTCCATAAATTATTCTTCATAAATTAAAAAACATTTCTGGGCTGGGTGCAGTGGCTCATGCCTATAATCCTAGCACTCTAGGAGGCTAAGTTAGGAGGACCCCTTGAGCTTAGGAGTTCAACACCAGTCTGAGCAAGGGCAAGACCCCATCTCTACTGAAAACAGAAAAAATTAGCTGAGTGTGGTGGCTCCTGAAATCCCAGCTACTTGGGAGGCTAAGGCAGGAGGATCACTTGAGCCCAGGAGTCTGAGGTTGCTGTGACCTAGGCTGACACTGAGGCACTCTAACCTGGGCGACAGAGTAAAACTGTCCAAAAAAACAATTTTTTTTTCTGGAAGGTATTCATAAAAATCTACTGTCTTTGAGTAGTAGAACTATGCATACATTTTCTATTTTTCTTTTTTGTATTATCCAAATTTTTTTTTTTATTGAATGGTAACTATGTACATTAATGCACTTCTGGGGTACAGTGTGGGGTTTTCACATGCAATCCGAAATACTTCCATTAAACTGGTTAACACAGCCTTCATGTCATTTTCTCAGTTATTGTTTTAAAACGTTCACATTCTACTCTTAGAAAGATTCACTTGTACCCCTGTAAGATAAACCTCAGAAG